CAATGGGGGACTCTGGGCGGCTAACAACATTTTCCTGACAAAGTAACATATTCAGACTAATTATTGAGATTTTTTTCAACAAGTCAGTTTGGATATTTTCAGATGAAAGTTTCTTTCAGTAGTATGTTCCTATTATTACCAAATTTTGAAAGCCATTCCAGAAGCTAATCAAACATCCATCAGATGAAATCCTTGCTAAGTAACAGCAACTCAACTGCATTTTTTTTCAGCATTAGAGCATACAATACATCTCAGTTCCGTTACTTATATGTCATATATTCTTAGTTGTTGTTTTCTTTAATGAGTAGCCACAACACTTAAATACCAACTTTTCAATGTATATACATGCAATCCTCTTAGGGATTAATAAACCAGGAAATTTCAGTATCAGAAAATGTCCATGATAGACACTAAAAAAACTGTAAGCACAGAGCAAGGCTGAAGATTTTTTTTGGCCTTTAAGACTTTGCTGGCTTTCATATCCCAGCACCATTCACCATTGGTTATACTGTCTGGGGCTCCTGGGAGTATTTTTTTTAAATTATATTTTAAGGATCACAAAATAGAGGAATCATAAGATTACTTGGCCCAACCAACCCACACAATAAAGACCCTAAAAGGTTCATGGTAAAACTATTCCTGGACCATGAAAAAATTCTACCAAGCAAACTAACAGCGTACCTTTAGAAACAAAAGACTGAAGACAGCAAAAGAGATATTGTAAAGAGTTATATTTTCATAAAAAGCAATAGCACATAAATTCTAATTTGTCTTGAAGAATCAATATGGTATAACAAAGTGCTAATCTTGGAAATAGAAGATGAGGTTCAAATACTATTTATCTAAGATAACATGTTTTAAATTCGAAGTATACCTTTAAGTTGTCACTTTGATTTCCTTCAGAAAAAGAGCAAGATGAAAAATTGTAATAACATTTGATACATGGGAAACTTGTAGATTAACAAGTATTTCAACATTCCTGAGACAATGTAAACACAGATATATATTTTTACCTTTGAAAAGGGTAAACAATCCTTGTCAGCTTCCTTGTCTTTAACTTCAAAGTCATAAAGTGCTTTGCACTGAGGTGGAGGTTGAGGTAATGGTTTAATTATCTGGACAAAATTGGTAGGAAAAAATCCATGGATACCATTAACTTCTCCATGATACCAATTTTCATCAACTTGCCGACGTAATATGATGATGTCACCTTTGCTGAATTTAAGATCTCCAGGCTCTTTCCCCTCGTAGTTATATAATGCTTTGGCACAAGGTAACTGAGGTACACCCTACAGAAAGAAAGCAGGTAATTTTTATAGCCACAAAATGTAAATAACCTACTCACATCTAAACAGAGGGAAATCAATCCACTAGGCTAAACCATAAGTGATGTACAGGAAGGATGAACATGATATATTAACTTGCAACTGTTGTTTACCCATCAGCTACTTTTAAAAGAAAAAAAAAAGATTAATACGTGAGCATATTATCTAAACCAATGGTTCTTAAACTGGGGGTAATTACCCCCAAGGGGGTAATTTGGACATAACCCGCGGGTAATGGAGCAATTGTAATTGCTTGTTTATGAATTGATGATCCAGTTTGGGACTGCTACTACCTCTGCGTGTGTAAAACAACATAGTCTGAGTTGACTTTTTTGTTTTGTTTTGTTTTTTGGTGGGGTAATGACATTATTTGAGACTGAGAAAAGGAGTATGGGTCAGTTTAAGAATCACTGATCTAAACTATATATTAAATAAACTAAGATTAATTATTTTACAGAAAAAGGCATATTATATAGATCCATTTATCAATATGGCTTCTCTCATGCACTCTGCAACATGAGAGGCAGTTCAGCATTATGGACTTCCACATTACAAGAGTGCATGTGAGAGCACTGTAACTACAGAGTGAAACTGGTGAATGTTACATATTTTTATTTTTAAAAAATCAGCCTTCTTTTCTCCATTTTCATGATGAAGTGCTATCTACAGTACAGTGCATGCATGTAAAGGGACAGTAAAAAACAGGGGCTCTGAGTCAAACAGCCTATATAATTCTCTGCTACCCTTAATATAAACAAAAACCAACTATCTGATAGTTTTCAAAGTATGGAAAGAAGTATAGACAATAAAACAGAAAATTGCAATTATACAGTAGAGAAAGGGAAAATATCCAGAGGCTGATTTGATGCCGGAGTCTGGAAAGTCCACACCATTTCAGTTTGCATCTCAAAATTCCATCTTAGGCTTCTGATGAAACAGATTAAATCTACAATCTATGGGACCAAGGACTAAGAAAAATGTAACGGCAAATCATCTCAACCACATGCATTTACCAAATAAAGAGAAACTGCAGTTTGCTTTGCCTCCAGGTGGCTTTTGCTTGAAATTGGCTACCCTTGAAAGCTCAAGGGTAGTACCATCAGCCAGGGCTCAAGGATTATAAGGTCACTGTTTCCAAGGTAGTCATTATGGTGAAGAGTAGGAACAACCTACTGAATGCAGATTTCCAGAGAATAGCAAGGAGAGATAAGAAGGCTTCTTAAATGAACAATGCAAAGAAATCAAGGAAACCAATAGAATGGGGAAGACTAGACATCTCTTCAAGAAAATTGGAGATATCAAAGGAACTTAGTGCAAAGATGGGCATGATAAAAGACAAAAAAGGCAGGGACCTAACAAAAACAGAAGAGATTAAGAAGAGGTGGCAAGAATACACAGAAGAACTATACAAGAAAGATCTTAATGTCCCTGATGTCCGTACTGGTGTTGTCACTGACCTTGAGCCGGACATCCTAGAGAGCGAAGTCAAGTGGGCCTTAGGAAGCATTA